GAATAGAATAGAATAGAATAGAATAGAATAGAATAGAATAGAATAGAATAGAATAGAATAGAATAGAATAGAACTTTAGGAAACTTTACACCTCTTGGACTTTTGACAGGCCCTAACCATAAAACTGCATGAAGACATAAACAGACCTCCTCACTGTCTCCTCCATCGGTGGAGGTCCAGATGAGTCGGTACAGAACCACATCGGATGCCGGGTGCCTCCAGGACACCCTGAAGCTGTCTGAGAAGATGTCGCTACTCGTCAGGTCCAGCGGGTCTGGGACGGTCTCTGTAACAGCCGCAGCCGTGTTTGTTAAAGACGGACTGGTGGTCTACGATGGTCTTTAGACTTCATGAATAAAGTTAAACCAGTTTGGCTCCTACTTGTGGTGAAGCTCTCAGTCACAGCTTCAGCTTCTCCTTCATCGTAGATGGCAAAGACGCCAGCTGTGTACTCCGTCAGGGAGGTCAGGTTCTTAAGAACGTAGGTCGTCACCTTTCCAACATCCACCTGTGAACACAGATCCAAGTTTTAATGGCACATTTTGTGTTTTTTTTAATATTGTTTGACAGATATTTTGCTTCAAATAGGATTGGCTCACCTCGTTGGTCTGGACCCCCTTGGTTTTGACGTACATGATGCGGTAGCCTCTCACCAACCTGTTGGCAGAGTCCCAGGTGAGCCGGGCGGAGCTGTGGTCCACCTCTGAGAACTGGAGGTTCCTTGCTGGGATCAGCGGTACTGAGGAAAARATGGAAAAGAAAGATGGAGACAGATTTCAGCTTGCTTGTGAGATTTATTTTTTTCTGCAAAATTAGCAAAATATCTCATGAACCACTAACTGAATGAAGCTCTCTGATAAATCTGTCATGAAAGGCACATACAGAAACATCAAAGTGAAGCAAAGTTGGTGATATCTGGGATCAGGATTTTAGACTTTGTTCTTCCATCGCACACACTCCTGAGGTTTTGAACATGACTTATTGGACTCCACTATTTTAATTATAAAGTGTTCTGAACCTCATTAGATCACTCCCCACTCCCCCAGGCTCTGCTTCAACATCCTCTCTAGCTTTAATTCTTTCTCACCGCCTTGGTGGTACTGCAGAGGACTGAAAGAAAAGAAAAGAAAAAACTCTGAGCTTTACTGTTTTTAAACTCAGCCACAGAATCAGATTTACTCTGATGCTCAGAAAAGTTTCTGCCTAGAATTACTGATTTGTTTCCTTTTTTTTTTTTTGGAAAGGGAAAAAAAAGAGCAAAATCCTGATTGTTCCCACCAATTCTTCACCTCAATTATACGGAGGGTCACAGCAGAGACAAACCAGCGCAGAGATAGAGAATGAGTGCAGCGGGGAAAGAGATACTGCTACTGCTTTTACTGTACATTGTGCCTGGGTCAGCAGGATGGGAAATTAAAAAAGTTGAAAGACAGAAAAGTCTGCCAAGGTTTCACAGCTTATATATGCGTTAAAAAAAAACACCAGATTAAACAACTCATTTGTGATGCTGGAACTAAAGAGGTAGGTCCCTGCAACTGGAACTTCTCCCGGAATCAGTGTGGGGGTTTTATTGCTTTATTGCTTTATTTCTTTGTTTTTTTTTAAGAAAAAAATTATGCAACTTCTCATTCTTTCATAAAATCAAACAGAAGCGCAATGTTTCAAATCCATTAAAGCACATTAAAAAATAAATAAAAAATGTATTCTATGAATCCTCAGTTAGCATTGATAGTACTGTCTCCTCTTTATAGCTAATATAAGATGATTTTATGAGATGAGAGGCTAGTGTCTAGCATGGATAAACTGGCATTAGCATTAGAGTAGCGACTAGCATGGATAAACTGGCATTAGCA